ACTGAAGGCCGCGCTCCTTGGTCTTCTTCAGAGAGCGCTAGAAGTCCTCCTTGCTTTCAGCAAATCAGGTTGCATCATCTTCATACTGCTGCTTGTCAGCGAGCCTTCCCCAACCGCGATGCCCCTTCTTCTTCATATAAGCCAGCTTCTCTGATGACTTGCTGCAGGCACGGTCTGAAATAAGCTCTCACTTTGAGTGGTGGGGGGTATAACCGAACCTTTTGAGACATGAAAGGAAACAGAACTACTGAAAATGTGTTCTTTTTTCTGGGGTTCCTCCATTTGCTACAGAATTGGTTTTCAGTTAGGCCCCAGCTCCCAATCAGCACTCGTTTTATGGTGCCATCTACCTGTCCAGGTGGTGCGCTGTTCAAGTGCACTGGGAACACCTAGATGTATCCCACTAGGACAAGGAGGGCAGAGTTCTCAGCGCTTTATTCCTGCACTCATGAGAACTGGTGCTCTCTCCATGACCATCTCTGAGGAGATTCTCCGAGGCAGGGACCCTCTGGACATTCAAAGGTGGATATGTGAAGGAAAGCCTCGGTGTAAAGTGTTATTACAATATGGACCTTTGTACCAATGTGGCCGTGCCTCGTTCCAGGCAGACAACGCATGCCATTCACTTCGCAGAGATGGAGAAAGAGCCCCCCCAAAAAGAAGGCTCTGGCTCATGAGGCACATCAAAGCCAGAGTCCGCCACTCTCTTGAAGGTCTAAGGGAGAGGATAAGGAGAAAGAAATCATGTTTTTGTGACTCACTCTTTTAACAAGCTATTGAAGGCGACCTACGTGTCACCATATTTGTTACTTTTGCCTCTGCTATCAGATTCCACAAATTCAGACTTAGAACCCAGAAAAAGGGTAAGAGAATTGAAAAAAAAAGTCTAGGTTGGAAGTTGTGGAATGTGCTCCCTGGAAGAAACTCCTCATTGCTGTTTGTAAGTTAGCTAGCTTTTAACACTTGTCTGCTGAGCCAGCCTGGTCGTTGAAAGGAAATGCTGTGTTCAGGAGGACGAAGCCGCTCCAGCTATTGTATTTCCAATCAAAACACGCCCAGGGTTTTAGACAGCTTTCACTTGGCCCAAAAAGCAGTGCTTGAATACGTGAAACTGTGTGCTGTGTCCCAGTTCATGTCCTGAGTCTCGGAACGTTCTTTTGTAGGCCACGCACTGGCCGTGAGCATCTGTCCACGTCTCCTGTCACTGATACCGTGAAGTCCGCCACCCTTCTGGGGTGGTCGTCAGACACAGACGGCTTGTTGTTTAGCCAAGTGTCCTAAAGCATGTACCCGAGGTTATATTGTTATTTTTTATTCTAACTTCTATTCTGAGACCTATTAAAGATATATATATATCACTGTTGATGTAAAAAAATAAAAACTTGCCTAGAAATTGTGAAATAGGCTAAATTGTTTAACATGGAAACATTTTTCTATTAATTAGAATTAATTAATTGTTAATTTTCGTCAGTGGGCTGGAAAAATCAATTCACAGCCACTTCAGGTAGTGTAAAGAGTATATTAGAGCAGGCCACTTAAACTTTCTCTGACCAGCATAGGCAGGCAATAATACATTTCTTGCTGTTGATTGACGTTGGTTCTACCTCAAAATGTTTTCCCATAGAATATCCTCACAGAAACACCATCAGCTCCTTCTACTGATACACTGAGTGGTTTCAACCTCCAGCCTCCTAGTTGT